TGATGGTGAACTGGTGTTTAGGTTGTGCTGTTCTCTGGTTTTCTGCAGGGATTTCTCTGGAGGATTTGTTGAACGTCGGCTCCACATCGAGAACCACCACCAAAGCTCCCGCTAAGGTCCGGCCTAAGAAGCCTCAGTCCAGTCCAGGTGAGCGAGGCCATCGCAGCGCTAGCTAACAGACGGTAGATCTTAGCTGAACATTTTTTATTTTCTAATTTCTGATCACGGTTCTTAGAAACCCTGCCGGACCTGAATAACATGGAGGACGGACAGACCGGCGCTGGTTCACACAGCTAGCCAAACCGTTAGCGCCATCAGTGGAAACAAACCCTTTAACTTTGGGTTATCTGATGTTCAGGTTTCCATAGCAACACCATTAAAAGCGCCATTTTTTTAATATTAGAGGTTAAGACGCTGCGATCATCAGTCAGTAAGGAGCAGAAAAAAAATTGAATGAAATGTTTAAAGATTCGTTTCCAAAAGTGAAACGAAGGTACGGTGAGGATAGGGTTAAAGACGACAGATCAAAGCCTGCGGTTCAGAAACGGATCTGGGCTCTAATGGGTTAACTCGTCATCTGATGCAGGAAATAGATCCGATTAATAATCATTCGGTTGGAGTTAAAGTTATAAAGTTGCTCAGTCGATGGTTAATCCTCTGATCTCTGCAGGCGGAGACGACTTTAATCTGGCTGATGCTTTGGATGAAAACCAGAAACCAGGAGGTGAGTTTTTTTATTCAGGAACGAAATGAGGAATCTATAAATAATGAATTTTATGAAACCATGTGAAAATAAAAAAGAATAAAAAACAAACTAATGGAAACATCAGGACAGTTCAGTTTGTTTCCTGCCATCAGTCTTTACTGTAATCTCTCCGGATGCAGAAACAGGAAGTGGCTGATTATTGAATTTATAGACATTTTATTCAGAGACGCTGGTTTTTATTAGGCAATAAAAGATCAAATGATCGACCACAAAAAATCAGAGTAAAAAAAGAGAGGAGTTTATTTTTCTTTGGGATTCGTTTCGCTTACCATGTGCTTCATGGTTCTCACTGGTTTCATTCTATTCAGTTTATTTCTATAGCGCCAATTCACATCATGCCATCTCAGGTTTATAGATCCAGTTCAACCAGATCATCCAGTCAGATTGATTCAAAGTTTTCTATCTAAGGAAAACCAGCTGATTGCATCGACTCATTGACTCTTCAGCAATCCCTCACATTAAGCATGCTTGTAGCGACAGTGGAGAGGAAAAACTCCCTTTGAACAGGAAGAAACCTCCAGCAGAACCAGGCTCAGTGTGAGCGGCCATCTGCTGAGGCCCACTGGGGTTCAAGGAGACAGAAGCAGACATAGAAAAAGAAGCATAGATACAAAAGGCAACTGTCAACCAGCTCCACAGGCGGCCCCGTCCAGGAAACACACAGCCAGGCAGACGAGCTCCGAGCCAGCTCCCATGTCAGAGGATGAAGAGAGCACATCCAGTTAGTCACAGTCAGAGAAACAGGACTACACTGGAAAACAGGCCAAGCTCCAACATCTAGAAACAAAGGTGTTGATGGCAGCAGCACAGCTGATATTAGATTTTTAATATTTAGTTCAAATAAAAACCTTCAGTTAAATTTTGGTCTTAAAAGCAGAAACAAAGTCGGTTCCAGAAAATCTGATTTTTCCAACTTAGAAAGAAAGTTACTGGAAACATCTTCACCTGTGGAAGCTGATTGGTCAAAAGGAAAATCCTCCAGTTTCCATGATGATACGCTTCTCTTCTTAAACTGCTGCTGCTCATCTTCCTGGTTGGTTTTTCTCCTCAGGTGGTTTTTCCGACACTGACCTGGAGGATGTGAGCAAAGATAAAGGCTACAAACCGGACAAAGGGAAAGGTTGGATTTTATCCCAGACTGTTGATCAGGGTTAAGGTTTCCCCTCAGATTCAAAGCCGCCTGTTTCCTCAGGTTACGGCCAGAAAGACGACAGCAGCCAGAGCTCCTACGATGGAAACAGCGGTGAGTCTCAGTCTGCGCTCCGCTCGCTCCGCCATGCTGCTGGAACCAGCTGATCCTTTCTGTCTGCAGAGATGACGGCGGAGGTGGGCACCATCGCAGGGATCATCAGCGCCGTCAGCGTGGCTCTGGTTGGAGCCATCAGCAGCTACATCTCCTACCAGAAGAAGAAGCTGTGCTTCAGCCTCCAGCGTAAGGTTCCTCCTCCTCCATGATGGGAATAATTCAGCTTTAATGAACTCATTAATAATTGAACGATGACCCGCAGACAGACTGACGTTTGATCGTTGCTGTCACCACGGTAACGTGTGAATGTTGATGTCATGGCAGAGAGTCTGGACCTGGACCTGAACAAGGCGGAGATCCCTGGACAGGTGGCAGCAGAACCTCACGGTAAATAGAAACAGCCATGTTCAGGCCGTTCGGCTTTTCAGATTAAAAGCACCGCTACCTTTCAAATAATTCTTTTATTTCGACTTTTAATCGCTCTGATGTCATTTCCTGTTTCATTTCTCCTGCTTGAATCACGAGACTTTGCTGCTTGTTTCTTGGTTTTCTGCAAGTTTACACCTGTTTGTTTTCCCGCCTGTTTATCCACCCCGCCTCCTGCTCTGTGCAGCTCTGCTCTGACCGCCTGCATCTGTCTGACTTCCTGTCAGGATCAAACAAAGCGGTCGTGGTTTAGCAGAGCTGCGTTTAGCATGTAGCCCAGCATGCTAACAATGCTAACCATCAATGCTAACAATGCTAACCCTGCTCTCTGTGATTTTCCTTTTTTCTCTCTGCAGCTCAGCAGTCGCTGTTGGACCAGCCGAAGGCTGAAGCCTCCAGTGACCAGAATGTGGTCTAAGACCCAGACAGCGACCATAAAGGACGACTCACCCCAAAATCAGCCTTCTCTTTGTCTTTCGAGTCTAAAACCGTCTGCCTGGCGCCCTCCTCAGGTTTAACCAGAGGCCTGCATCTGATTCTGAGCCAGTAATGATGTTAGCTCTGCTGTTATTGTGACATCACCCAGAATAAGTGATGTAACCGTCTAATCTGGATAAAACTATCATCTAAAAACTGTTCCTGCTCAGTGGACGGGCGTCTCAGCTGGTCCGCCGCTTCCATTAGGAGCGTTTTTTCAAATGTTAGCTGTAGGTGGAGGTAAAGCTGCAGAATGGGGTGAGTTGCCCTTTAAACGCTAACTTCATCCTTTGATTCAACACGGTTTACTTAGATCATAAATAAATAGATCTCTACTTAGAACCAAGTTGTTGGTCTTAAGTAGAGATAATGATTTATTCTGATGAACAGTAAAATAATCAGTTGAAATTAAAACACTTTAGAAAAGTAGTTTTTTTAAGTTCACTTAATAATAACGAGCATTTCTGCCTCGTTTACCTGAATTATTCACCGAATGTTAGAAATGTGAAACTAGAACCACTGGAAATAATTCACTATCAGTCAGAAATATTCCTGCATGTTTTACTGAGCATGTGAGCAGAAGCTAAACCAGGAAGTAGCCTCGTGCTAACAGCGGAGTAGTTGCTATGGTTACCAACAACTGACATCAGTAAAAATAAAACACGTATAGCAATAAAGGTAAATTAATGACAAAATAACATGAAATGGAAAAATACCCCCCCCCCATGCAATGAAATGTTTCCATACATCTGTCAACAACATCTTAATTTGCAGTTCTATAGAAATTAAGTGATGCTGCGGCACAGAGCTGGATGGATGTGATGCAAACGATTAAAACCGTTTTAGGCTCTCTGCTAGATTTATATCTGATTTATTAAGAATATTAGGTATTCCTAATCAATTCAAATCATGTATTAAAATGAAAATGAATTAATTTGATATGTTAAAAGACAGAAATGTTATCTTTGACGCGACATGTATGAAAATCTGAAAGAAGAACTGATGTAAAAATCAAATGTTGCCAAACTGACATTTATTAAACATACTTCTGGGATTATTTTAATTTATGGGATTTATTATGAAACGAAGGCTCATGTTTATCTAATCAGAAAGGAGGATTGCTGCAATGCATTATGGGACGGAACGAAGCAGACCTTTGCTCCACTTTAGTGAATAGAAATTTCATTTAAAAGATCTGAGTATTTAATCAATATGAGAATATATGGGAACATTATGCTAATTAATTTATTTGATTGACCAGCATAGTGGGGGGGGGTCTGTGCTGATACGTAAAATGGTAAAAAAAAAAATAAAATAGAAAACATATAAAAGGATAAAAAAAAAGGTTAAAGTAGATTTTAGTGATCAAACACATTAAGGTAGGAAACATGAACAAATAACCTGAACTTTACAGGAATGAAAGAGAAACAAGTTTCCCTAAAACAGGCGAACTGAAGCTGGGAGCTCCTAGTGTCCTCGTATCCTCCTTGTTTCTTTGTTGATGTTTCCTCTGTTTCCTCCTTGTTTCCCCCTTGTTTCCTCCTTGTTTCCCCCTTGTTTCCTCCTTGTTTCCCCCTTGTTTCCTCCTCACTTCCCCCTTGTTTCCTCCTCGTTTCCTCCTTGTTTCCCCCTTGTTTCCTCCTCACTTCGCCCTTGTTTCCTCTTTGTTTCCCCCTCATTTCCTCCTTGTTTCCCCCTCGTTTCCTCCTTGTTTCCCCCTTGTTTCCTACTTACTTCCCCCTTGTTTCCTCCTCACTTCCCCCTTGTTTCCTCCTCGTTTCCTCCTTGTTTCCCCCTTGTTTCCTCCTCATTTCCCCCTCGTTTCCTCCTCGTTTCCCCCTCGTTTCCTCCTTGTTATCCCCTCGTTTCCTCGTTTCCTCCTTGTTTCCCCTCATTTCCTCCTTGTTTCCTCCTCTATCATCTCTACTCCTCAGGAAGGAAGCTTCTCTGGATTCTGTGTCGAGGTGAAAAATGTTCGATGTTTTGAAGGAAAGCGTTTCTTTTTTCCTCTGACATGAAAATGAAAGTAAAACTGTTTTAATCTAAAGAAGGTTTTTCTCCTGTGAGCTTCAGAAATTGTACCAGGATAGAAAATAGAACCTAGATGCTGCCGACTGTGAGCTTGACTGTAAACCCAGAAAAACAGCTTTTATTGTGAAACTGAAGCAGAAGAAATAAAGAGGATTTCAAAGAGAATCGTTTGTTTTTCTTCATGTTGAATTTAAATCATCAGCAGCAGATCTAGAGCTTCTAGAGCATGAGGAGATTCATCATGTTTTTTCGTTCAGTCGCTGTTTTTATTGGTTTTTATCAATGATTCTAATGAAGCAAACCAGTTTGTTTTCCTCTCATTTGTTTCTCTGTGATGGAAACTCCAGTTCTTTCCAGTCAAACCAGTAAAATAGAGAACAAACCAACAGGCTCAGCTTCCAGTCGAACGTCTCCCATAGAGCAGCTCATCCTAGCATTTTAATCTAGAATGTGTCCGCTCCACAAGGCTGCAGGTCAAATCACCGCCATCCTATGAAAATATAAATCTTGATAAAAGATGAAAAATGTGAATCAACTTGATTCACAACTTGAATTCAACCATCATCATCACCATCATCATCACCATCATCACTACCACCATCATCATCATCACCATCATCTTCATCACCATCATCACTACCACCACCATCATCATCATCACCATCATCACTACCACCACCATCATCACCATCACATCATCACAATCATCATCATCATCACCATCATCATCACAATCACCATCATCAGCATCATCATCGTCACCATCATCACCGTCGTCATCATCATCACAATCATCATCATCACCATCATCAACATCATCATCGTCACCATCATCATCATCATCACAATCATCATCACCATCATCATCATCACCATCACCATCATCATCATCACCATCACCATCATCACAATAATCATCATCATCACATTATCATCATCACAATCATCACCATCATCATCATCACATCATCATCACAATCATCACCATCATCATCATCACCATCATCATCACCATCATCAGCATCATCATCGTCACCATCATCACCGTTGTCATCATCATCACCATCACCATCATCACAATCATCACCATCATCATCATCACCATCATCACAATAATCATCATCATCACAATCATCACCATCATCATCATCACCATCATCATCATCACATCATCATCACAATCATCACCATCATCACCATCATCATCATCACCATCACAATCATCATCATCACCATCATCAGCATCATCATCGTCACCATCATCACCGTCGTCATCATCATCACAATCATCATCATCACCATCATCAACATCATCATCATCACCATCATCATCATCACCATCATCATCATCATCACCATCAAAATCAAATGACAGACTAGAATTTGCAAAAGTTAATTTTTTTAATCAACAGTTAAAAATTGGTCTTTTGTTAGAAACAGATTCATAATGAACATAAAGTAAAAACATGTTTAATGAGCAAAAACTTAAAGAAATCTTTAGTTACTCGTTTTTAGCATAAATGATATTTCTATTAATTTGATGCATGTATCACAGCTAACATTGAAATTTACACATAGAAATATCATCACTTTTAATTTTTCGAATTTGTGGCCCTTCCGGCTTCCCATACCTGCCGATTATTATAGATATCTGTTTGTTTGACATTTTTAGATTTGATCCAAAACAAATATTTCTTTACTAGTTTAGTTTCTACAGCAGCACCTGCCTGATCCTGATGGTGGATTCACCTGTCGGTGCGATGATCAGCCGCTGCCTCCGATCTAGCAGAGTAGATCTACAGACCCCAGATAGAAGCTGCTGAAGGATGGGAGCCAATGAGCTGCAGACATCCAGCTGAGAGGAATTCATAGATCAGCTGTTCCTGCAGCCTGTTCCTCTGGTTCAGGTGCTGCTTCTAGATCTGAGTTTCTACGCTGAACGCGGTTTTCCTCCTGATATAAAGAGGCAGAAATCAAAGAGTTCTGCTGCTGTTTGCAGTTAAATGTGACTAAAAAGAAGCAAAACGTTTGAGATCATCAATAGTTTTTAATATTATAAATATTTCTCAGGCCGAAAACAAACAACCAGAAATCTGAAGAAAGCCTGATTTATACTTGATGGGTCAGATTACATCCTTGTAGAGCCCCACCCCTCCACATGGGGGCAACATGGGTCAGTATGCAGGAAAACATGGCCGACGGCCGACTTGCAGCATGAGGTCTATACTGCCCCCTAGAGTTGGCCAGAGTTATTTATAAGAGGAAAAATTGCAGGAAGAAAAAAAGCTGCGAACACTTTGATCCAGGAACCTGTTTCCCACGCAGGAAGTAGGCGTCGATCGTTACCCAACCTCACTAAGAGTAAAGATGGACGGGGCTCTGAGGGTCGGCCGAGGCTGATGGGTAAAAGGAGGACATGTGGGTGTCCAGCTCCGTCACCCTCCTCTGCAGCTCTGCTCTGCGGAACAGAAGGTCCTTCAGAGTTTGATGAACTGGAACCTGGAAAACATGAACAAGATCAGAGAAACTCAGATCCTGTTCCTGGGAATAACGGGTTTCCTGTGAGCGTTTGTCCTAAAGCCGGCGGCGGCTGCACCTGTGGCCTCATGCGAGGGTTCCAGCGGGCGTAGTAGCTGGTCCACAGCTCCAGGTGTCTGGAGGAGATCAGTGGCTGCAGGACGTGGTTCTCATAGTTCACAAAGAAGGGGTTGGTGAAATCACTGGGCTGGCTGCGGGACACAGAGCAGATGTGAGGTCAGCAGCAGCTGGAGCCACAGCAGAGGTCAGAGGTCAGCGCCTCACCTGTTGATGTAGGACCACAGGGACACCGTCTTGGTTTGAACCTCCTGGAAACGACAGAAGCACATTCCCAGTGAACTTTGACCCCTTCATACCTGAACTTCACCCAGACCCGTTTCCATCAGAAATGCAGGTTCAGAATTTCGGTATGAAGCTAATTAGCGACATCAGGCATC